AGTGGGGAATGGCTATTGGTTAACTATACTGTCTAGCTGAGCCAGTGCATCCAACTTGAGCACTGTTAGAATCACCTGGAAGGTTTGCTCAAACACAGATTATAGGACCCCATTCCCAGAGCCTCTGTTGCAGTAGGTTTGGGAGTAGATTTGGACATGTGTCAATAGACTACTAACCACACTTGGTAACTAACCCACTGAGCCTCAGCAAAACTGCCTAGCCTCAACAGTGTTGGCCAGTATGCTCAGAACTCTGTTCCCTAGGCTATTTCAGGATCATGAAAGTGCTAGTATTAATTTTTTCCTTAAAGTTGGATAATGTCCCTCTCTTTGCTATGGATTTTGCCATCCTTGTTCATCCCAACTGGAGACTCAAGCTAAGAACAGCTATTCTGCCTGAAGCCAAAGTTCACTTGGTTTAGCAGGGTCAGGCCAGGCCAGGAGTATGAAGGCAGAGCAGGAAAGGCAAGAAGAGAAGAGAGCAAAAGGCTGTTTTCTCCCTGCTCCCTCCCACATTCCAGCCCACCCTGTTTTTCTGGAGTGTGTCTGTTTAAGGGCCCTCTTGACTCTGGAATTGGATGCTAAGTGGTTGGGTGTGTAGCTGGAAGTTAGTCAGGTCTGTTTGGTAGTAAGATGCTGACAGGACACCAAGTAAATACTCTTTAGGGTATTTTGTTTTGCTTAAAGATTTATTTATTTTTAATTTATGTGTATGAATCTTTTGCCTGCATGCATGTGTGTTTGTATGTATATGCATCATCTGTGCACCTGGTACCTACAGAGACCTCAAGAGGGTGTCAGATCCCTGAGAACTGGAGTTAAAGATGCTCTCGAGCTGCCCTGTGAGCTCTCAGCAGGAGCAGCCTCGTCTACATAGCAAGTTCCAGGCAATCTGTGGCTGTAGAGAGACTGTCTCTAAAAAAAAATTTTTTTTAATTTTCATTTATTTATTTGTATTTTATGTGTATGAGTGTTTTGTCTGTATGTATATAAAGTGTAGCCATGCAAACAACTCCTGTAGAGGCCAGAAGAGGGGCATTGGATCCCCTGGAACTGGAGTTACAGATGGTTATTAGCTGCCATATGAGTGCTGGTAACTGAACCC